CCATACAGAATGTAGAAGGGCCAAAATAAACACTTCTTATCATTATTACTTCATATTTGTACAATATCACTTATATAATTCAAAAATAGAATCTTAAATAGAAGTCAAAAATCAATTGAAATCATAAAATTAATTAAAGGATTTAATTTTTGATGTTAATTTAAAATTGTAATTCCTAAAATTAATGCTTTTAATTATACACACAAATATATATATGAATTTAAATAAACAATTTAATTAATCATAATAATTTGCCTAATACTTGCACAAAAGCTGCAAAGTAATAAAATAATAATTTATTTACTAATGGATTGTTTTATATATTATCTCCATTGACAAAAGTGGTTAGAATTCTATTGAAATAAAGTAACTTATAAGCATATTAAAAAATAGAATCTAGAAAAAATTTATGTAAATGGAAAATGAAAAAATGAATCTTGAATAAATTGAAAATGGAAACGTTTAAAAAGGTATAATTAAAATTGAATATATAATCAATAAACCAAGTAATTGTTGCGATTGACCAGAAATTAGTTGACTTTTCAAGGAGAACAAACCAACTTCCAATCAATTAACAATTAATAAATGTGAAGGTGCTTCATCTTTTTCTCACGTAAGAATTATTATGTTAAAATAGTCTTTTAGTAAGATGAGTTTAAGTGAGATGAATTGAAGTAAAAGCACTGTATAGAATTCAGTAAAAAAATTGGCGGCTGTTTCGTCAAGTCTAAAACTCAAAATCATGATTTATTATTGTAAGAGTGAACTGCATTTTCTTTACCTGAGAAAAATCTTCCCCCCCCCCAACACCTTCACCTTTAATCATATTTACGTAAACTTTGTAAAAGTAATAAACACAATGCCATCTTAGTAAAAACAAACAAGAAAGATGAATAAAATTACATTCACATAAGACAAAAAAGTAAAATTAAAATTTATGAAAAGGAAATGTCATAATATACATAAATGGCCAGAATATATATATATATACATACTTGATATGAGAAATGGTTTTTAAATTTTAATTAACTATTCTTTAAAATGTTCTTAACATTTTTTATCAAAATATTTTATTAGGAAGAAATCACATCTGTTCTGAAAATTTTTATTCCTCCCATCCATGTTACAGATCACTTTAAAATTTAGACCAAAGTTAGAGGCCTATTCAAAAATGAATATTTCATCAATTCTTTTGATCCCCCAAAAATGAGACTAATTTTATGCTGTTAAATGTTGAAAAGCTTCAATGGGATCTTTCGCGGAAAATTAAAGCAATGAAACTCATTTAGAATTATGGCCCAATTATCTATAAATTGGATTTCATATTTTCAGTAGAATTCTATTATCTGATTTTATACACATTATATAACATTCTATATGTCAAATCTCGGGAAACTATACAAATTTTTATAGAATCTCAGCATATCTCGATAGAATATCTAAACATAACTGTATACAAGCTGTATCTAAAATTTTACAGATCTCTGACAGAAAACTGGGACATAATTCTAAAGAAGTTTAACATTGGATTTGTACTTCCTTTTATGAAGTAAAGGAAGTATTGCAATCAAAAAAAATTTCGGTATCATATTTCAACAAAAAAATCCATTTTCACTACTCTTGAATCCATGTGAACAATGTTTTTGTGTTACATTTGTACTCATGGACAGAATAAAGCACTCTTTTTTTCAAAATGGATTCAGAAGAGATTACATACATACATTAGTATGTATCTTGCATAACTTTACATTTGAAACTCAAGTTTAAGTCAGTTAGTGCACTGACTTCAATGTCTTTCTGCCCAGTGGAACCAAAAGATAACTTTCAATTCTGTGCATTGAAAATTTTATCTTCCTGCCTGCTAGCCTTTTTTTTTTTTTAATAGTAACTCTAATCTTAATTGTAAAAATTGTTTTTTAACTGCATCTGCTGTTTTATGTTTTTTTGTAATCTAATGAAAATTGTTTAATGAATTGAAAATGAATCTAATGTTTTAATGAAAACTGAGTTTTTATGCATGCCTTGCCATGAAGTGAGAACTTACTTGATTTAATAAGAAATATGAGTGAAATTTGAAGAAGGAAGTTTAAATGTAGTACAGCAAAAAATGGGTTTAGGCCATACAAGAATGAGATGTGGTGCTGCCATCAGATTTTGTATAGCATTTTTAAAAGGCACTTTTTGTAAGGGACGTTGAATCCAAAATTAAATTAAAAAACACTATTAAAAACTTGTGTATTTTCAGTTTAATCTGGAAATAAAGTTTATTTGGTTACAAAGATTATATTAATATTAAAATTTTTTCTCGAGCACATACACACTATCTTTTTTGTTTATTTGCTATTCCCTTTTACGTTTCTTCCTCAGTTCACAGTGAATCTTGTTCTTGTTTTCATTTTACATCACTCTTGCATTTTGATAGGCATCAATGGAAAACAGAAAATTAATGGCCAAACTATTGATTTATTTTAATGATACAGCAATTTACCTTTTGAGGGATGATTTAAGAATACTTATACATCCCAGACTATGTATGATTATTGTGAATAAAAACAAAAATATATCATCAGCTACCACTGATTTTATCCCATGTCTTTTCCTTTTTACATTTCCAAAAACTTTTGCAACACTGATGACTCCTGTTTATCCATCATTCTGTAATAAAATCTTTTAGATAGTGCCCAGTTAACTAGGAGTTTTACTGTAGTTACTAAATGTACATCTCTACTTAACCTTCCAGCACGCGCGCATGCGCAAAATTTATGACAAATTCAGTTTTTAATGCACATTTTTCGCATATCGAAGCTGAGACGCCTGAAGGTCATTTCTATTCCTCCTTTCTATCCTTCCCCACATAATGGAATGTGCCAACAGGAAGTCTTTTTTTTTTTTTTCTTTTAACTGGGCTTTTGTGCTACGTGGCAGCTTTCTCATAAAATTCAAGACAATGTGCCAACAGGAAGTCTTTTTTTTTTTTTTTTTCTTTTTAACTGGGCTTTTGTGCTACGTGGCAGCTTTCTCATAAAATTCAAGACACGCGTGCGGTTGTGTTTTAAATTTCGGAAATAATTTTTTCCTCGAATGTTTTGTAATTTTGTGTTATTAATTGCCGTGTACTATTTTAATTTGAATGCATTTGGCTCTGTAAATTTTATATCAGTTTTCATGGCAAAAAAATATGTGCAACCAGCTAATTTTGCTCGAATTCTTCAAGAATTATCTGATGAAGAAAAGGAAGACAAGGAAACCTTTCGATGGGAGAACAATAGCGATTTCCATTCTTTATTTTCTTTTATTTCTATTTTTTAGAAATAAATAAAAACATTAAAGTTAGTTTAAAGTGCGTTTTTGTAACCAGTAAGAAGTAAATTTCCTTGCTAAACTTACTTTTTTCCTACCAAGGTGTTTTCCTTTTTTATTGTTTATACTTGTCTTTGGTGAATATTAAAATTAGCTTTGATTTTAAAATATAATTATTAAATAATAAATTTAAAATTTTCTATAATGAAATACATTGCATTTCCATCTCACTAACATAAGAACTTAAAAATAATTTACTTATATTTGAATGTGATATCATTTGTATTTTGCAATAATAAGATTAATATTTTATTTCTTAACAGATTTATTACTAATATTCACTTATTTCTGTCGTTTTTCGTGCCAAAAATGGTGAAATAACAGATGTTGCAAAAAATATGATGTGCACGTGCTCATGTAAAATTGCCAAGCGAACGTGCTGGAAGGTTAATAATAGTTCTATTTCAAAAACTAACATTCATAGCTGCCAACCTTAAATTTCAATAATGTGAATTTCCTGGAAAGTTTGACCATTTTGGTGCAACATTTTAAAAGATCTCCAAACTGGTGTAAAATCAATTTATAATGTATTACAAATTTGATGATTATATACATTTTATTAGTAATATAATTTTGATGATTATGAATTTTAATTCATGTATTTAAGTAATATATATATAATATTTAAGTAGACATCATATATTTTAAATTCTTTGGCTAATTTTAGTTTGTAAGTTACTTAATGCTTTTATACTAAAAAAAGTCATCCTATCAGCATATTAGTGAGCACCGCTCACTTCTGTATCATTATGCCCAGATTCAGATTTCAGATGCTTGTATGTGCATAGCATCGAGCATGTGGACACTTATGATAATGGTGAGCCAAAAGTCCTCTCGAGGCTTGATGGTCAGAAATGGCAGGTGGGAGACTCTTGGATACAACCCGATTGTTCTACACCAGAATTGGAACGGAACTTCCCTCTTCTCTTGTATGTAAAAGTGGTCACCCACTGTGGCCTTGTGCAACAATCTCTCAGTTACGGCAGATGGGTATTGGCAATTCTCAACGAATGCATTAAGTTGCAAATGTGCAGCTATTTGATACTACAATACTAAAAAACAAAACTCAGAAAATCCTGAATATGGAAAGAAAGCTCTAATTTAAATCCCAAGCACTTTTAAGTAAGATAAAAATAAAATTAATGTACATGGTATTACGTGGATAAACATAGCAATGTATTATACATTCATGTAAAACAAGATTAAGTACAAATACTAACTGATTAAACAGTGCTTGAATCTTCATAATAGTTTCATAAATGCCTACAGACAATTCATGTCAAATAAGACAATTCAGCTCAAATAAAATTTACTAAGAAACGTTTTGCTGAAAACCACTCGGGCTAATAGCAAGGAACTCACGTAATCTAAGAACCATTAATTAGTTTTTGCAAAAGGTTATAAATTAAAAACCATAAAATTCAGTAATCTACCAATATATGTGATGGAAAACTGAAAGAATTGGCAGCTATGAAAATATAATCAATTGTATATTTCAAATACAAGTTATCTCATAATATATAAAAATTTTAACCATCAAAATTATTTAATTTATCATGGCAATGAAAGAAGTAACCTATAAAATGTAACTACAATATGTATATACTAATTATAAAAGTTTCGAAAGAATGACAAACAGCTAATGGTCAAATGACACATTTACTTTTAAAAGATTTTAAGTGAATCATACATTAAGACTTGCAATGTAATCCATGTAATACATATACTCCAATATTACATAATATAACCCCATATATGGTTTGACCGTAGCTAAAAGAATGTGAAAAAATGATTTACTTGAAGTCGAGTTCAAACTCATTTTGTTCAGTAGGTTTCTTGATCCAGTGGCCAAGTCCAGCAGATACAAAAGCAGATGTCAACGATATTTTGGCTTCTCGGTACTTTTTTACAGCACTTTTGAATGCAGAATACATTGCAGGACTGGGAGTTTCATATTCATCAATGTGTGGCAATCGGTCATATATGTTCATGAATCTCTGAAAAAAGGATCTTTTTGCTAAACGAGAAACTTGACCACTTTCTGTTTTGCCAGTCACGGCATTTATAACTTCAGCTCTTCCAAGGCCAACAGTCCAATTGACACTAAAATTGGGTGATTTAATCAAGTGCCTAGCCTCAGGACTAGTTGTTGTACACATTTTAGGTTTGTTGAGTTTGAACATTGGAGGCAAATCTTTAATTGCTCCTTCGATTCTGCCAAAAAGTGCACGATGTAAATGATTTGGATGAAACAAGCCACCAAGAATGACACTTTCAATATATATTGGCTCAATAAAATGACAAAGTAATGCTCCTTGTAGACCTAAGACATTCCACGATGCTATTTTATCGGAGCAGGACATAGTTAACAACCGCTCCTGCCCGGGTATTATTCCATCCCAAGTTTGTATACGCTGTCCATCTTTTACAGGAATAGTTCCTTCTCCTGATTCAATTTTGGTTCGTAGAACACCACGAGAATTTCGATTCGGATGCCTATCGACGGGATCAACTACGATTTCTTCGTGGGGTGAGAAAATTCTAGCATCTCCACAAGGAGCTGTGCTAATATACAGATGGAATTTTATATGTGGTTTCAAAACAAAACCACCAGTTTCTTTCTTTACAAATATAGACTGATCCCCTTCCCCTTCCAGGTGATATTCAAGATTGGTGTACAGAAAGTCTTTCAAACACCTCCGAGAAATTATTTCTGCATGGCAGTCATTAAGATTAGCTCCAACCATACTTATATGCTCACCATTAATACATTTTGTACCCGTTCCAAAACTGATTATCTGTATGTCTTGCATAGCTTCATCCTTTGTCATAGCTATTCCTGCAATAACTTTCCATTTTGCATTATCAGGATTATCTGTCATAACATCACTAAATGTACTCATCAAAAGTTTTGAAATTTTATCAGCCACAGCTTGAGGAAAATTGAAAAGCTCAGCATAATCTGGTGAAGTAGGTAATAATGACTGAGGAAACATACTGTAACTCACATTATAAAGATTAGATAAAACGGCACGAGCCGCAGCGGCTTTAGCCTGTTTCTTATTTTGACCAGTACCTTCATAATTTTCTCCTCCGACTTCTACAGTCATACGGAACCGCTGACTAGGTATGGCAGAATTTTCTTCAACAAGTTTGAATGTCAATCCAGGATGAATTTCATTCAAAAGCATAACTGGATTCTTCTTCTCAGCTTCAGTTAACAGTTTCAGAGGTTTCTTCAAAGAAGGATTATCTTTGGAAATTATTTCATTTCGTGTTCCATTCTTCTGTCCTTCAAACTTATTAAAATTGAAGCCTTCATTTTCAACATTGTCAGTTGTAAAATCTGACATACTAGGAGGCCTACTTAATGCTGTCATGGCTTCAGGAGTATTTCTAAATTGAACCATTGATGATAAAGCAGCCTGAGCAGCTGAATGCTTAGCAAGTTGCTTGGAACTGCCACGCCCAACATATTTTTGTTCATTCACTTCAACTGATACAACAAATTCAGGATTGTGAGGTGGTCCTGATACAGCTTCAACAATATACTTTAACCCAGGTTTCAACTCATTAAGTTGCATTAATGCATTTTTTGCCTGAAAATTCTGAAGTTTTTTCTTCTTTTTTTGAAAAGAGTCATTTTCTTTTGATTTCCGCTTCCTCGACTTTTTTTCGCCTCCGGTATCCATCGCTTCAGAACCATCTGTGCCATCAGGCTCTTTCTTATGTTCACCAATATCCACTGTATCATCTGCAAAAACAAAATTTAACTTTCTTATACAAAAAATGTTTTTAAATACTTCTGGTAAATAAATTTTAAAATCTAACATGCAAAGACTTCCACAAAATTTTTTTATCATTTTAATAAATTATGGTTATAAATTTTTTGTTATAACGATTCATAAAAAAAAAATGACATACATGTAAAACAGTGCTTACACCAACCATTTTCGAGACCAAATAGCATGATTTTATTGTCAATAACGGATATGCATAGCATCAGCTCACACTTTTGATTTTATGCAATCCTAACTAATCATCATTATGGCAGTTTAATACAGTACAAAGTCCGAAATCCGGACTTGTCGGAGCTTCGACGATTCCGTATTTGGGATTTTTCCACATTATAGATCATCAATTTAAATCTGGTAAGACGGCATACAGAAATTATACAATTAAAAATATGAAACTGTAATTTATGAAATAAAGAGGAAATTATGATCTAAAGGGTATCAAATTTTACAAAAAAAAGTTTAATAATTATTTGTTTACTTTATTAAACATTTCTTTCAATGTAAGTTGTTTAAGTTGCTTCATTTTTTGTGCTAATACCTTCTCTTTAATTCTACGAGGCGTATTCGGAAACTAAGTACCATTTTGAAAAAAAAAATAGTAAAACAATTTTTTCGAATCCAATTTTATTTTTACATGAAAATACATGTCTTAAACTATTTTTCAACATAGTTTCCGCCAATGATCAACACTTGTCATAGCGGGTGACCAGTTTTTGTATACCATTGTCAAAGAAACTTCCCGCCAGTTTCGATAACCACAACTCCACAGCATTTTTCGTGTCATCGTCAGATCCAAAGCGCACCAAGCTCCCGCTTCATGTGCAGGAACAAGTGATAGTCGGACGGCGCCAAGTCCGGGCTGTACGGCGGGTGATCGAACTGCTCCCAATGAAACTGTCGAATTAACGATTAAGTGACACCAGCAGTATGGGGCAGGGCATTGTCATGGAGCAACACAATTCCTTTACTGAGCATTCCTCTTCGTTTGTTTTGAATGGCACGCCTTTGTTTTGTTAAAGTCTCACAATATCGTGCCGCATTAATGGTTTCACCTCTGGGAAGAAATTCAGTAAGCAAAACGCCTTTCCTATCCCAGAAGATGGTGCACATGATTTTTTGTGATGACATTGTCACTTTGAACTTTTGTTTTTTCGGAGAATGAGTGTGTCTCCACTCCATCGATTGTTGTTTCGATTCTGGTGTGAAATGACACACCCAAGTTTCATCACCTGTCACAATTTGGTTTAAAAAGTTTTCTCCCTCATCACTGTACCGCGTGAGAAATGTCAGGGCACTACCAAGTCGCTTTGTTTTGTGAACATCAGTGAGCATTTTTGGAACCCATCGGGAACACAGTTTGCGATAATTCAAGCGGTCAGACACAATTTCGAACAAAACAGTACATGAAATTTCTGGAAATGCCTCTGAAAGAGTTGTCATTGTGAAGCGTCTGTTCTCATGAATTGCTTCATCAACTTTCCTTACCAAATCATCGGTGACAACAGAAGGCCGACCACTCCGAGCCTCAGCGTGGACATTTGTTCGACTTGCATTAAACATTCTTACCCACTTTCTCACCATTCCATTACTTATCGCGTATTCACTGTAAACTTTTGTCACTTGACGATAACTTTCGGCCGGTTTAACATTCCTCGCGTTCAAAAATTTAATCACGGCACAAATCTCAAAGTCAGCGGGAGAACTAATTGTATTAAACATTTTGAATGTGCACACCAAACTGAAAACACAACATAGAACAACGAAAATAACGACAACTGAAAGTCAGTGAAGAAGAAAGACTAGTGCGCATGCACGGGACGCCTACCACAGCGCTGCGACGGCGCTAAAATGAAACGGTACTTAGTTTCCGAATATGCTACGTATAAACAGACATAATTTCTTGTTCAGTTACAAAGTTCCACTGTTCAAGTCCTGTAATTGCCATGTTGACAATACCGACTAACTTGTCAATCGAAATTTTTTCATTTTCAATAACCTCTCTCTTTCTTTCTTCACTATCGGAAGCGGTACTTTCTGGATCTAGAACCATACTACAGATTTCGCCGTCCGCTAATTGATTGATGATTGGGGCATTGCCGTCGCAATGAAAAACTTCTGTTATATCATCTTCATTTATTACCACTTCTCCACATTTCTTTACAAAATCCAATAACTGGAAAATTTCACCTTTAGTTTTCGATATCCAAAAACCTTCAAATTCGCGGCTATCATTTTCATCATCCTCACCATGAAATATGGTAACTGGCCATAAATTATGCAAAGCATTTTTTAATGTATCTGGAGACACATCCTTCCATGATCTTGTGATGCTCCACACAGCAGATTTTATTATAAAATATTTCAAAAACTCTTGAATAGTCTTGCCACTGTTCAAGAAATTTAACATGGATTTTAAAAAGCTATTTCATATTTGCATTTCAGCGCATGCACTATTCCAATATTCATATGCTGAATGACAGATGTACAATTTGGAGGAAAGAATAATACGGAAATATTATCTTTTACTAAAACTTTAAGTGAAGTATGAGCTGAACAGTTGTCTACAATCAGGGCTATTTTTGAGTCATCAGGTAAACCAACCAAATTCAAATGTTGACAATCCTCAGGTATAAAATTATTTTCAAACCAATCATTCATACGCTTGTGTCATCCATGCTCTTTTATTTGGAGGATATATAACAGGGAAAATCGTTACTCCTTTAAATGCTCGAGGTTGTGCATGTTTTCCGATTACGAAAAGTTTGCATTATAAAAAAACTTCTCATCCCTTAATTTTGCCACTCAGTGCTTCCCCAAATTCGAACAATTTTGTCTTCCCTAAATTCTGCGGTACGTTGCCAACATATTCTGCCCCTGCTTCTGAGTTTATGTTGAATAACATATATACATTTATTGCTATTGTCATGGAGCAACACATTGTCATGGAGCAACACAATTCCTTTACTGAGCATTCCTCTTCGTTTGTTTTGAATGGCACGCCTTTGTTTTGTTAATTTTTTTTTTTTTTTTTTTTTTTTTTTTTTTTTTTTTAATGTCTCATTTTGTCACATAAGTGTATTCTTTTGGCCTATGAGTTTCATTAACAAAATCTATTTTTAGCATATGAAAAAAAATTTTTGTTGAATTTTTCCTTGTCAATATTTCTTAGAGCATGTAAAAATCTATAATCATTGCCAAGCGTAACATTAGCATAAAAGGTTGTCATACTCTTGTTATTCAATTACTAATATAAAAAAAAAAAGTTTAGATATCACTGCATGAGTTATTACTGAAGCTGTCACACATGCAGTGACGAAAGCAAAATATAATAAATGATGACTCGCCAGTTTGGCGTTAGGGATATAAAATAGGTGAATGTTTCGGTTTGAGATGTATCCCTGTATCCCAAGCAGATACTCAGCTACGGAGCCAAGTTATTAATCTCATGAAGTTATTAATTTTATGCTTACATGATTGTTTTTCCATAACAAGGTATTTTATTTAGTGCCAAAGTGAAATTAAGAATCGGAATTTTTAAGTGAAAATCTCCACGTTTTATTAAGGAAGGAAAAATCAAATATGCATGCAGAAAGCATACCAAAAAAAAAAGTTCATGGCTTTGAGTTCCGGATTTTATATCATTCTGGATAATGGTCGTCCGGATTTTGGACTTTGTACTGTATTTGTAAAAAAAAAAAAAAAAAAGGGTATTCTTTGTCCTAGCAGACCGCCAGATTGAATCGTCAAGCAATCGAGATATCTCCCCCAAATCTGGCTGCATGTTGTTACACCTCGCCACATAATTGTATATTAGCACCACGTTGCATTTTTGCTCTTGCCATGTGTTCTTATGTTATTAATTTTTTATAAGGTTTTCAAAATCAAATTGTTTATTACAAATATATTCACTGCTTTTTTTAAGGGTTTGTACACATTTCTGCACACAAAATTTAAGTACTTTTAATGAAAAAAATTAAGGACCTATGAGCAAATGGGAATTAAATAAATTCAACTAAAAATATTATTATCTGTGCCTGAACTTCACTTTTTGATACCATCCTAAAAATAAAAGAAGTCCGTAAGTAGGATGCACTATTATTAAACATAACTTAATTAACATAATTATTAATGTGTTTGAGAATAAAATAAATATTATGAAATTTATCAAGTAGCATTAAATATTTTACACATATAATAACTGGACATATTTGAAAGAAGGTTAGTTACGTTTTAATTTTAATTACGTTTAGCTTTTTTTTTTTTTTTCTTTTTAATGTCTCATTTTGTCACATACTTGCTCAGTCTAGAGGTTTAGTAAATAGTAAGTAGATTTTATGTCAAGCAGCATAGGTTAAAATGAGTATTAAAATCATAATCAGCATGATTCATAACAAAAGACTAGCTGTTGTCACCGCTCCCGCTTGCCTAAAGAGAGACCTGCTGATCAAAACAAACCTGAAAGGCCTGATATAAGCACAGTTAGCAAGTTTTGAAAGTTAGCTGAGTTCTGTCTGACGCAGTTAGTGTTGTAGCTTCGTGTAGAGTTCCAGGGGTTGTAACTCAATTAATATACATTAAGGTTCTATTAAGCAACTAAAGCACTAGAAGTGATAAGTTGTTTTGCATTATTTTAAGTCTTACTAGATGCAAAGAATATGTTTTATTTGAATTTTTATATTTTGTATTTTATCTTGCGACCACGGCAAAGGTTAATGAAAGGCAATAACTCACTTTAATATGCTGAGATAATTTTTAAGGGTAAGCACTTAGTTATAAGTAATTAAATTAGGTATTAGATAACCTTAGTCAATATGGATTTACATGGCCACCATTAAATTAAATTTATCTTTTAATAATATTTGTTAAAAAAAATCTATTATCACAATCTAATAAAATTTCACAGTTTAAAATATATGCAATTTATGACATTGATTTTTAAACAAACAAATAATTATGC